GCTCATTGATTTTTCAATGGAGAACAGCTTGATTCTGAAGATCATACAATCCCCTAAACATATCAATAAGTAACAGAATGCCTGATTAGGAAATTGATGAAAAAAAGTCAGAGGCATAAAGAAGGAAATTAAGGAAAAGTCAGAGGCATAAAGAAGGTGATTAACTTTTCGCCAGAGGCTAATTTGAATGGAGACTCGTTAGGAACTTAGCTGACATTCTCAGGAAAACTTGGCTACAGTGATATCTGGGGAATTGAGATGTTTCTTAAGGACAGACATCCCAACAGATGACCAGTTTGACCTTAGGGGTCTGGGGAGGCTGGAATTATTTGGGTTACTGATACAATTGTCCACTTGTGTTTGCATGAGGCCACATGAAGACTTTGTGAAGCCACATGGAGTAGAGAGAAAGTCTGGGTATTTCATTTGTCGCCAACGGGCACTTTCACATAGAGAGCCTAAGATTTCCTCATGAGTACTCTCAAAATTCAGTAAGCTTCAAAGCTCATAGGCAGACTTTTCATACAAGCTTCCTGACCATCCAGACCATCCTTGTCAGCCCCACTTGTTCCAACTCTCACTGCACTACCCACTCCATCCATCTGATGTCCCCGATCTGCTTGGCCTCACTCCAACATGCCTACAGTTTCCACCTTCATGTTCATGCTGTTTTCTATGAATGGCAAACTCCTTCAAATAACACCTTCCCTTGGAAGCCATCTCTTACCCAAGGCATAATTAGTATCTCGCTCCTTCTTCTGACCTCCAACAGAATAAGGTGCAATGTGAAGAAATGGAAAGGACAGATGTTCTACTGTCAAAATGATCTGAATTCAAATCTGACTCTTACACCTACTAGCAGTGTGATCTTAGGTAAATTAGCTAATCTTCCTGAGGCTCTGTCTCCTAATATTTAAAATGAAGATTGTTAATTCTCTAAATTTATGGGGATCATCAGTGATATTGTATTGCCATCATTTACCTGTCCATGTTTCTCTTTGTGAGCTCCTTGAGATGAGAGACTTTGCCTTTTTATTTATTTTGCTGTCCCACAACGCACTTAGCATAGTACCTGGTGTTTTGCAGCATTTAATGTTTTCTTCTATTTAATTAACGCATAGTTCAGGAAAAGTAATTCAAGCACTGATAGGCCAATTAAAGTCTAAGTTCTTCTGTGAAGTGCCCTCTGGTCATCCCATGCCCACTAATTGGAATTCTCAAAGTTCTTTTCATCACCTGCTTCACACACACTAATTGATTCTAAGCAACTCCAGAGCAGTAACCATGGCTTTGACTCTGAACTCAGCAAAATTTCACAATGCTCTGTAAATACCAGTGAGTGATAAGGTTATTTGAAATGCATGATTCTCTTTCTCATTCCAAAGAACTTTTCTCCTCATTTTATGCTGAGTTTACTCCAAGGTGTCAGAGACTGAAGCGCCTGTAACAACCAATGTCTTATTTCTGCAGTCCTTGCCCTTGGCTCAAAGTGAGGGCCTCCCTTGACACGACTTTCTCAACTCTACATAGTTTGTCTCTCCTTTCTTTAGTGCAATTTCTATTAACTGCCCTTTGCTTTCTACTTCTGGACAAGTTCCTTCTCACTGATGTATTGTTCTCATGGGGATTTGGAAAACTTTGGTTCATTATTTCTTAATTCCTAGGCACATGGTGAATTACCACTGGAAGGCACCTTAAAAATTATTGAATCCAGAGACCTCAACTAGAAAACAATTCCCAATGTTGTGGTAGGTGTGACTAATTGATCATAGCACCTTTTTTTCCCCCCCCCTGGTGAGGTCATACATGGCCTCAGAATCATTTTCAACACAATATTCCAAGTAGAAACTATCATCAATCCTTTAGTCTATGTAGGAGATAACGAAACTTGTCGGACATCCCTAGTGTAGTTCAAAGTTACTACTTTGCTAATGAGGCCCAAAGAGCAGTGCTGACTTAGTCTTGAACCGAAACCAGAACCTGGGTTACTTAATCCTCTTGACTTTCATTTCAGTCCAGGGTTTCCCTTCCCACATGATCACTGCTTCCCTTTCAATAGTCATTCGGGTCCTAGAATTTATATTCTATGCATTGGCGCATACCTAATCATATTTAACAATATGATTAAAATTATAATACACAAGTTTTGGCTTTATCAAAAATACCTGGGCTTTCATCGATGTTATAAGCTTGTGAGGAGAAGGGCCTATGTTATATTTGTATCTTTCACAAATTCTAGCTTTGTGTTTGGTACATGGTAGGTGTTCAACAAAAATTCTCTGATATATATCCAACTATATATATGAAACAAACAGATTGATTCTTAAATTTTCACTAAGAATCATTAAAAAATCCTACCCCCTTATAGATAAGCAGTATTTGATTAAAAGGACATCATGTATGATGACACATACCCTCACTTTTTTTTAGAGTGACACCATATGTTTAAATAAATTCCAATTTCATCTGCATGTTTTAGGGGAAACTAGATTATTATGTCAAGGAATAGGCTGCCTAATGATACTTCTGCTTAAAAATACAAAGGACAATGCTGTGGTTTGGGGCTCAAAATTCCTAAGAAATGATAGCTTTTCCTCTTGTTTTTCACAGTGACATCTTGACCATAACTTGTGGTTCTGTTTGATGCTCACAAGTCAGAATTGTTAGGACAGAAAAATAAAGGGAAGGAGAGGAACAGAAAGAGAATAGGAAGAGAGAAGGGAGGAAAGGTATTTTTACAGTAGAGCAGTAAGATACTAGTATTATCACTTAAAAGTAGATTTAAAAAGCTGTACAATCCACAGCTAACATCATACTTAATGGTGAAAGATTGAATGCTTTTCCCTTAAGGTCATGAACAAGACAAAGATGGCTGCTTTTGCCACAACATCGTACTGGAGGTTCTAGCCTGGGCAGTTAGGCATGACAAAGAGATAAAAATTATCCAGATTGTACAAAAAGAAGTTAAAACTCTCTTTTAATGTATGACATTATCTTTTATATTAAAAACCTTGAGAGATCTACCAACCCCCCCCCAAGAAAAACATTATTAGAACTAATAAATGGGTATATAAAGTTAGTGACAAGACTGAAATACAAAAATAATTATATTTCTATACACTGCAATGAACAATCCCAAAATTAAATTAAGAAGACAACTCACATGCAGAAGAAGAAATTGGAACCTGCCTCATATTATATATAAAAACTAACTCAAAATGGGCCAAACACCTAAACGTAAGAGCTAAAATTATAAAACTCTTAGAAGAAAACTTGGATATAAATCTTTATGACTTTGGATTAGGCAATGGTTTCTTAGATATGACACTCAAAACACAAGTAACAAAAGAAAAAATACATAAGTGAAGCTTGCAAAATTAAAAATGTGTATCAAAGGACACTATCAAGCAAGTAAAAAGACAATGCACAAAATGGGAAAAAATATTTGGAAAGCACATATTTGATAAGAAATTAATATCCAGAATATATAAAGAACGTCTACAACTCAACAACAAAAGATTCCAATTTAAAAATGGGCAAAAGTTCTGAATTGACATTTCTCCAAAAAAGATATACAAATGGCCAATAAACGCATGAAAAGATGGTCAATACCAATAGCCATTAGAGAAATGAAGATCAAAATCACCATGAGATACCACTTCAGACAGAACAGTATGGCTATAAGCAGCAAGACATAGAATAACAAGTGTTGGTGAAGAGGTGGAGAAATTGGAACTTTCATACATGGATGATGGGAATGTAAAATGGCACAACCACCTTGGCAAACAGTCTGGCAGTTCCTCAAATGTTAAACATAGATTTATTATATGATCCAGCAATTCCACTCCTAGGCATGTCCCAATGGAAATAAGAATATACGTCCACACAGAAATCTGTACACAAATGTTCATAGCACCATTATCCATGATAGCCAAAAAGCAGAAACAATCCAAATGTCCATCAACTGATGAATAGATGAATTAAATGAAGTATATTCATTAATGGAGTATTATTTGGCATTGGAGAGAAATAAAGTACTTACACATGCCAACAACATAGATGCACTTTGAGAACATTATGCACAGTGAAAGAAGCCATTACAAAAGACCACAGAGTGTATAATTCCATCTATATGAAATATCCAGAAAAGGCAAATCCATAGAGACAAATTAGATTAGTAGCAGTCTAGGGCAGGGTGGGATGGGAGTGGGGGTGGGGTTGGGAGAAATAGGAAGTGACTGCTAGATGATTTCTTAATGGGGTGAAGGAACATTTTTAAATTGATTGTGATGGTTGCATAAATCAATATATTAAAAACCTTTGTATTGCATACTAAAATTGGTGAACTGTATGGTATGTGAATTATATCTCATTATACCTGTTATTTTAAAAAGATACATGTGCATATGAGTAAATATTTTAATTTTAATGATTAAATTTCATTTGTTAATTCTCTTCTATGTCTGTCACAACAATCCATGTATTCACTTAGATGATCCATATGTATATTTCCATGACTACTGTCTTAGCTTTATAATGTGTTACAGATTAGACATATTTTATGATGAGTAGGTATCTTTTATGAAATCCACCCCTCTAGAACATTTAATAGGTATCTTTTATGAAATCCATCCCTCTAGAACATTTAATAGGTATCTTTTATGAAATCCATCCCTCTAGAACATTTAACTTAAAAGAAAAAAGATTTAAAAAATGAAAACACCTAAATTATATTTTTTCGTCTTCATACGAGTCATTATATCATTTTCATTAACACATGATTTCTGTTGACCACTAGGAGCTTTACCCCCAAGATCTAATATATTTACCATAAATCCACTTCAGTGGAAATCACATCATTACTTTTAGCAATACATTTATAACAGTGCTCTACTGTCTGGTAGCTTCAAAATTTGTTTGCCACTGAAAGCCTAAATGTTAATTATTGTTAAATCCACGGCAACTGAGAGAACTTGATGTTTTGATTATTTTGTACCTACCCCTTTTGAATCAATCACTCCAGGTTTTGCATTAAACTTCACTGTCTTCAATCGGGCACGTTCCTTTCTCTCCACCCTAAAGAAAATTGAAAATAAAGACTCTTTCACATGGCCAGTCATTTATGACTAAGTTCTTCATTAAATGAAGAACACCTTTTTTTTAAATCATACAGCTCAAACAAAATGTGTTCTAAAATATTTCTGTTCCTTTGTTCAGTATAAATAGTCTTGGTATAATGTCTTTAAGCTGTTAACACATCCCTTGATATTTCTGTGTTATATGTACTGAGAGTCACAGTATTTGGAACAAAGAGGGAGAAACACCAATATTTGTTATTTAAATTCTTGAATCAATCAAGCAAAATCTATTTCAAGAAATCACAGCCCATAGAAATGAACACTTAAAGTGGAGATGAAGTAAACTTTCCTCCTCTCCTCTCCTCTCTTCTCCCCTTTTCTTTTTCTTTTTGTTTTTTTTTAACTTCCCTCCCCTCTAAGAACACTAAGGGATTTACTACTCTCACCTCAAAACCAAACATGTTATAGATAATCTTGAATTTTTTTCTTTCCCCCAATGTCCTTCCCTGTCATTCTGTGGATTTCATCAAACACTTATTGAGTGCCTACCATGCATCAAGCAAGGAGCTGGGGGACAAAGAAAACCCATTTAAATGCATGACTGCAATGAACATAAACACAGACTGATAATGCTGCACAATAAAAAGTTTGATAGCAATGTGGGAGCATCTATTATATCCCACTGAAATGGAAAGTAGGGTGGAAAGCACTGGGGTGGGCTTCTTGGACGAGGTGTCTATTTTTGTAAGACTTGAAGGATTAGAAAGAGCTTGTCAGCAGAGGAAAAACTGATGGATGCTAGCTGGGAGGGAGTGGGGATGAAGGAGAAGGGGAAGGGATGAGACAACATAAATAGGTAACTACAATATGGCCTCAGGGATAGAAAAGACAGTCTGGGGAATATAATTAATAATGTAAATATTTTCTAGGGGGACAGATGGACTCTTGTCTTGTTAGGGAGACCACCTCATAGACGATGCAGAGGCCTGACCGTTGCACTGTATATCTGAAGCTGATGTTGAATAATATGGTATGTCAACTATAATTATATATACATATAGTCACGAGATGTGAAGTAGAGTGTGGGAATGGAGTCAATGGAATTGTAATAGATATGTATGATATCGGGGGAGGCAGGGATATGGGTGGGGGAGGGGGTTGTCACTTTGTGAGGGGTGAAAAGGATAACTAGTGCATTGTTTTGTACACCTGAAACTAATTAAAAAAAAAAAGAAAGAAAAAAAGAGCTTTTCAGTAGGAAAAGTTCAGGGAGAATTCCCTCATAGGAGGAAAAACATGTACCGTGCCTTGAGGATTATAAGCAAGCTAAATATCGGAGGAAGATCCTGGTACAGGGTATATACAGGACGGGGATGTGAGGCAGGAGAGGTGGCAGGGTCTCCTTGTAAAGGGCATCCATTCACACTAAGGGCTTGGGTGTTTTCCTGGGGGAATTCTCGTGAATTATTAGAGGATATAAAACAAAGAAGTGATAGATCTAGATTAGCATTTTAAATAAGTGACCCTGGTGAAGGAGAAAGATAGACTGAAGGAGGGAAGGGCCAGCTGAAAGCAGGAAGCCTATTTAGAAGCTGTTGCCATAATCCACGCAAGCAATGATGAGAAATGATAATGAGGTGGAGGAGAGAGAAGGGCTTTAGAACTACAGTAATACCTTGGTTAGCGAGCATAATTTGTTCTGGAAACAAACTACTCGTATTGTAAGACATTGCTCATTTACCAAGTTAAAATGTATTAGAAATGTTTGCTCATCTTGTGGAACACTCGCAAACCAAGTCACTTGCAATCCAAGGTTTTACTGTATTAGTAGAATAAAATTGGTAGAACTTGTGCCTGTTTGAAGGCTGGGGTTGGAAAAAAGGAAAGGAGAGGAATTTATATATTTCCCTTATTTTTTATTTTTTTGGAGCCTCTCCAGTGAGACATGATGGTTTCCTGCTCTATGCCACAATAGCACTTATTGGGTTGTCGGAAAAGTCATGACACATTTTTGCAATGAAAAACATAGAAAAAATACGTCATGACTTTTCCGACAACCCAATATTTGTACTTCTATGTTGGTAGTGTCTCTTGTTTCCATGTGTTTTAGTTTGCATTGCACAAGCAAGGCTGTATGCTGCTTGAGGGCAAACCCACATACCACTCCACAGCGTGTTACCTCAAGTCCTCAGTAAATAACTGTTGAACTAAAACAATGTTCATTGCATTGTTTTAACATGACTTTTTGTTTAAACATGCCTAGCTCTTATTTCAAAAATTGGGAAAGAAAAGAGAAGGAAAAAAACTTAAATCTACAAAAATGTAATGGTATGAAAATATATGAAATCTAAACTATTCATAGATGAATAATTAACCACATACTCCGTTTTAACTGAGAGCTCTTTTGTGTTTCCAGCTGAAACACAGCGAGAATCAGCGTTTCTATAGTTACAGAATGGAGTTTTGGAATATATTTATTTCAATGTGAGAGTAGCATATTTGAGTGGAAACAGCTGAACAAAAATTCTCAAATCTAACCTTACATATTAAAGCAATATGTTCCACTGAGAGTTTCTACTTGCACCCAACATACAACAGTTGGGAGGAGAGCAAGGAAGACTTTAGAGGAATTAAGTTGCCAAGTGGAAAGACGCTCACTGAGCAAATGCCTGCTTCGAGCTCCATCAGCTTTTCTCAGTTTTAATATAAGGGCAAATGTTAATTCATATTCATCTCTTTGGATTTTTCTGAAACTGCTGTTATAGACCTGACTTTATCCTGGCTTCTTGGCATTAACCAGGCTAATTATGGAAAACACTAGTTTGATAGATGTTGCAGCTTACAGAGAATACATGGTTATTTGACCGGGCTGTGCAAATAAATTCTGCATAAACCCACAGAACTCACATGGACCCCAAACATGCATAATATTAGGTTCAACTCAATATTCTGTTCTAAGAATTGTTTGGCTATTATAGTATTGTAATCCCTACCCCACACCCCACTCCAGATTCCTAAATTCATTCTTTTCAGATTTCTTAAGAAATGTCCCTATCAGGCCATTTTTAGGGGTCTATCCCTTACATCTTAAAAGGGTTGCAAAGAATGTTGTCTGATGGTTAAACAGACAGACACATAAACACAGGCACACACACCTAATATTTGCTATGGTGTATTATTAATCTTCAAACAGACAATAGAGTAAGTAAACAGCAACTTTTAAAGCCTTACTGTATAGGTGGCAGGATTTTGGTTCACTCATGAAAGAAGTTGAAAAAGTTTGTATTCTACTTGGGTTGAAAGTTTCATTAATAATGATGATGATATAAATGGTGGCTGAAGTTTTCACATATAATTATGAATGAAAAATTCCTTCATATTTACATCATCACATTTGTTCCATTACCAACTGATGTAGGTATTATCAACCCTGTTTATTGTCTGGGAAAGTTGAGACCTGAAGTTTGCCCATTTAGAAAGTGGTAGAAATAGGGCCTGAATGTGTATTTGCTAATAGCTAACTTTAGTGTCTGTCCATGTTCACTCAGTTTGAGAAACAGCATTCAAGGACCTTCCATTCCTCCCTTATCCAATGCGAATACTCAAAAAACATGAGATTGGGGATGGGTTATACACAGTTTTAAGGCCAATACAGTTCTTTAGAAGTCTGGGCTGAGTTTGTGGCAAATGATAACTGATCCCCCTCCCTTGCATACCTATATCCCAAATGTCCTGAATTAAATAAACCACAACCAAATTCAAGCATATAGTCATTGAGATAAAACCATACCATAACAGGCTGGCCTCAACATTCAGAATAAATTTGCTTTTAACACTGAAATTCAGGTTAGCGAAATGCCTATTTGCAATGTTACATCACAAATGCTGGACTCATTTCTCTCCTCAGCAGTCTACCTGCATTCACTGAAACCCCACCATAGTCTTGCTTCCCCATCACAGAGGCCCACGTTGATTGCCTGTTAGAGTTCTCTGCAGCCCTCTCTCTCTCTCTCTCTCTCATCTGCCTCTCATCATTCTCTCTCCTAGAGCTCATTTAGATGCAGGTGGATAGCCTACTGTGGAAATGAGAGTTAGGGCTGGGGAATAGGGTCCTAAATAATGTGTGTTCTTTTTATTTTCCTTTGACCCAGAGTCAGTTCTCCTTTCATCCTGTGTTCTTTTTAGCACCAAAAGCTCAAAATCTAAACAAAGGAAAATATCTATCATTTGAGTATGCACAAAAGTGTTAGAAGCTGTGCTAAGCACTTTATTACCTATATTAGCTATAATTTGTGCAGTGATACAAGCCTTAAGATGGAGCTGGGTATACGGTAAGTCCCCGACTTACAAACATTCGAGTTGCGAACTTTCACAGATACGAACGGACCTCGCATTATGAACATTCATAGATGCGAGCAAATCGCGGAAGGTAGCTCACGTGTCTGCAGGACATTGTCACCGCTGTGCTGCTGTGTGCTTACTGTACAGTGCGATAGTGTACCGTAGTACAGTGCTCAATCAGAGCCCAGGATGTCCGGAAGCAAGAGGAAAAGCAGTGGTGATGTGGAGGGGACTGCTAGGAAGCGCAAAGCAATAACCATGGAAATGAAAGTGAAAATAATTGAGAGATTGGGCCGAGGCGAAAAGATGGCAGACGTCGCTCATTCTTATAACATGACTCATTCAATCATTGGCTTTACATTGTATATTTGTGTCAAAGGTGTATAAGACTCACTTTGTCAGACTTACAAATGAATCTGACTTACGAGTGTCCTCCCGGAACGGAACTCGTTTGCAAGTCGGGGACTTACTGTATAGTAAATGCTTAAAGAATCTTTGTGGATCGAATGAATGAATGAAAGAATGAATTAATGAACCCTCAAGGAGGCTATTAGTTGTTGACCAGGATGTGAAAACTAAGGCTCAGAGAGTTTAAGTGACTTGCTCAAACAACCAGTGTTTCCGATAAAAAGCTGTTCGCCATTTCATTTCATGACTTTTTCACTTGGTAAATTCAGCATCACCTCTTCTAATTATTTTACTAAGCAAGACTCCTGTGGCAGAAATAGATATTAAGGTCCATAGCTCTTTACCTAAGGAAACGGTGGACCACCTGTGTAGAAAGACTAAATTGCCATGAGAAGGACTGCCCCATTTCTACCACACTCAAGAGGCTAGCAATTAATTAGATTGTTTAAGCAGAAATAATCTTCTCTGCCCTAGCTTGGTCACTGACCAAAATACTGCAAATACAAACTGGATGGCAAAAATTTGAGCAATCAATTCTGACACCTAACATCTCCAGAGAGTACCAAATGGTCATGCTTTAATGAGCCCAACTGTCTCCCTCTGCCCGCTCACCCATCTGGCATTTTCAGGGTCTGGCCAAACCCATAATGAAGTAAGGCTTGGAGCTCTGGATGGTGGGAACACCATTTGGCGCTGGCTGTTCCTTTGCCTGTTTTCCACAAGGCCCTGTTGCAGGGAAATTTGAAATGCCACAGTCACTGTCCATAGGCTTGCTATGAAGTCTGGGTGTGTAACTCCTTATGCAATGCTAGCTGTAAGCTGTCATCTGAGAGCCCAGGTGGCCTGCCACTGTGGGCAATGAATAGACACTTGGGTTAAGAGACTGTGGAACAAATCCTACCTTGGCCAGTATGTAGTCTAAGAAAACAGAGCTTCTGTGCTAAGACCCCAGGTTTTGAAATCACACAAGCCTGGGTTTGAAGTCTGCATCTGCCACTTACTAACTCTGGGACTTAGGGCAGGTCATTCAACCTCTCAGGATCTTAGCTTTTGTGTTGGTAAATTAGAATATTAACATAGATTTTAAAAAATTATGGTGAGTGTTAAATGAGATAACACAAGAAAATTATTTAGCACAGTTTCTGCTATTATAATACAAGGGCTCCGAGTATACTCTCGGTGTAGTGGAAAGCCACCCAGTTTTGCTCAGAGAGACCTGGGTTCAGCCAGTAGCTGGCTGTGCATCCCTCAGCAAGTGACTTGGACTTGACTTCTCTGACCCTCAGTTTCTTTATGAGGCTATTGTGAAGATTACATGAAGTCACGCATTTGAAAGCACCTGACACAATACATAGTCAGAGCCATCATCAGATAGAATTCATCCCTCTGTCTGCTGCCTTTTCACTTTCCTTAATACCTGCTATGCACTGAATGTTTGTGTCCCCCCCACCCCACTCCCAACCCCAAATTTATCACTTGAAGCCCTAATCTCAAATGTGATGGTATTTGGAAATAGAGCCTTTGGGAGATAACTAGGTCAGGAGGGTGGAGCCATTATGAATGGGATTAATGCTCTTATAAGAAGAGACATAAGAAAAACTCTCTTTCAGCCATGTGAGGATACAGCAAGAAGGCCATACGCGGAACATGAAGAGGGCCCTTACCGGGAACTCGGTTAGCCAGTGCCTTGAATTTGGGCTCCCCAGCCTCCAGAGCTGTGAGAAATAAATGTCTATTGTTAAGCTGCCCAGTCTGTGGTATTGTGTTATGGCAGTCTGAGCAGAGTAGGCCAGTACCTTTCTTTACAATATAGCCCTCATTGCTAGTCCCAGCATAGCAGAGCCATAGTTATGTGTTGGCCCCAGTCCAGACTGTGACTGGACGACAGTGCTTGGCACACAACTGTTGCTCAAGCAATGCCTGCTGAATTAAATTTTGTCAAATCTTATTTTTGTAACATTGGAAGGTAGGATTGCATATGGACTTAGAGCATCAGTCCTACAGCCAGGATTCAAATCCCAGTTCTGCCACTTATTAGCTGGGCAATTTCAGGCAAATTAATTAACTGCTCTATTCCTCAACTTCCTGATTTATAAAATAGAAATAATAATACTATCACTTTCCTTATAGGGTTGTGATGGGGTTACTGAGGTTTAAATAAGTTAATGATAAAGGGCTTAGAACAGTGTGTAGCATGTTGTAGGAGTGTTCTGGTCAACATAATTTACTCACCATTTTCAAAAAAGGAGGGGGGAAGGCAATACTTTTCATCTTGGTTTCATTGGGATGATTAAATGAAATCATAACAGAGAAACATTTTTGTAAAGGGTTTAAGTCACACACTGATGTGATCCATTATGAGGTTTTTCCAGATCAGCTCTGCTAGCTGAACTATACTCAGAAAAGAGGCTAGAGAGAAATTAAGAATTGAAAAAATAACCCCAAGCTAATCGTAAATCAGATCTGTACCAGCTACCATTTATTCTGGGCTATAGCTTTAACATGCTGAATGTAGGGTGAAATGAGGATGCCTCATTTAGATGTGAATTATTTGAGAGGAGACTCAGGACAGACTCGTGATAGATTTTAAATTGCGTTAAAATAAATGCACCAAAGTTCTGTGGGATATCATTTTAAGTGATTTTTACTTTTTCTTTATGCTTTTCTAAATTTTTTCACTTTTCTACAATGAAATGTATGATTGTATAAACATACAAAATGATAATTATTACATTTTTGGTAAGAACTAAAATCCTAAGGAGACAGTTTGAGAGAAATGCATTTACAGCCATAAACACACACACACACACGCACGCATACACACACACATGGAGGTGAGAGCTACTATACCTTCATGAGGTGCAATACAAATAAATATCAATATTAGACTCACTAGACAAACTTTTTTTTCAGCAGTAGCATGGTTGTTAAAATGGTTTTCATCCCAAATGGGAGAGACAGCCAACCTAAGAACGACCACCAGCAGGTGGAAAATTACCTGAAGAGGACCAGCACTGAAAACGTTCTTTGAAGTGGCAAATGGTGTGTAATTGAACAAATGAAGGGCTAGTGACAAAATTGGTTAGAACCACAGAACCTCAGGATTGGAAAGAGCCTGAAAAATGACATAGTTCAACTCTCCCATCCAAAGCTTGAATCCCTCTTATAACTTATACTGGATCTTCCATTATCAGAATTACCTGGAGGGACTTAACAAAAAAATACAGATTTCCAGGACCCACTTCAGATGGCTTGAATTAGAATCTTAGTATGGGAAGAGGTGGCGGTGGGGAGAGGATGGGCATATCTACGTTTTTACAATATAATGTTGCCTTGGTGTGAAACCATGGTTCCAGTCACTATCTTCCCAGGGAATCCATACCATCTCTAGGCAGCTCTGACTAGCGAGAGAATTTCTTGAAAATAAGCTGAATCTATTCCCACATAGCTTTCCTTCCTCCGCCCTTGGGGCCATATTCAACAAGATGGCTCCTTTTTCTACAGAGCCGTCCCTCAGACAGCTCTGATTAATTAAATCAAAGCAAACCAAGATGCATGATGCCTTGCCATTATTTTTGAAGTAAATGGAAATGGAGAACCACAGAATATAAACAAGAACTGAGAGAAACTGCTCTGAATACATCATCTTTCAGAAAATACTACAAGCCATGAAAGAAATTCAGACTGTCCTCTCAAAGCAATGTCAGGCAATTATCCAGGAGCCCAGAGGTTTAAAGAGACCCAGAGAAGTGTGTGCTGGAGTGAGGGTCGTAGGCATGGGCATGGGAGGTGGGGGGTTTCCTGGAGTTTTCCTTGCTTCTCTGTGACTCTTCCCCACTGATGGTGATGGAGCAGCTATGGGACATTCAATTGGCCTGCTGCCCTCCCCCTGATATTCCACCCAGGCTGTGTGGCCACAGGCAGAGAAAGATGGGAGATCAGCCTTCTCTGGGGTGCAAATGCTCTACAGTTATTCTTGGGTGTAATTTATATCTTTCCATCTGGTTTGTACTCAGTCACTGGGTCACTTTGTGTGTGGCAGCACGTGAATACTCAGCTTCCCTGAGGATTTTTTACAAAGGTATTTGGGGTGTTTGGATGTGAGGGGAGCCCTTGGAGAAACCTGCAGCTCGTAAAACCTTGGTGACTGCTTTGAGTAAGCATGATTTCTGACTTCGATTTCATACCACATCTCTTTTCCGGGGTGCAGATAATTCATTTCTTAGACAATATCTTACTGCCAAAAGGACACTGGTGGGAAGGAAAGTTCCTTTCTGGTGGTGACAAACAGAAGCTGCTAGGACTGATGAAAGACTTGACTGTTCTGAAGTGTATTCCTGTCTTTCAAAAGCTCAGTTGAAGAAATGCTTAGATGCGAAAAAGTGTAATACTCCAACCTTAGGAAACATAGAGAACTAAGCATCTGAGTAGACGTGGGGAATTTTGGGGCCAGGTACAGGAGTAACTAAAAGAGAGAAAAATAGTTGTGAACCCAGGCTTTCAATCTCACCAGATGTTTAACAGCTCGTATCCCAGGCATTTGAACTTGAAATGGAAGTTTTAGTTGTTTTTCATTAGTATTTGGAAGGAACAGATATAGCTAGGCCCTTAGCCTTAGTACATAGTCTTTATTTGGCTTTTACGCCACCTTTCTATAAAATTCTTTACTTGGTTTTTACCTGGCTTTTCTAAAAAATTATCTGATACATTTTGAACATCTGGAGTAAGCCCTCTGAGTGTGTAAGTCAGCACACAAGCTGATAAGCATAATCTTGAACATGGAATGCCAGTAAAAGTTTTAGGAGGGCAGTGTAAGCAGATCCTCTTCCTTTACGTCTTATCACAGACACCAGTTTTGGTGAAACTCTACTATGAAGAGAGTGAGGATATTTCATTTGTATTGCCTGCCACCGCTGACAATGTCCTTGCAGACGGACTAGCCCACTCAAATAGGCATTTTGTGAACAGTTTGTCACATCTTCATCCTCCCTCACCACCACTCTCTGGAGAACTAAAAAGCAAATGCTCTGAAATGGAAAAAGCATTCTTACCTCCGTTTGCTGGGGATGACCCCCATCTCCTCACTGTCTCCCTCCAGGGTGACTCTCCTGGCTTGCCACCACTCATCATCAGAGGCGTTGATAACATGGAGAATGTCTCCGTATTTAAAACTAAGTCCTTGACTTGGCAGCCCACTGTCCTTGCTCTTGTCATAGTCAAACATGGCTCTGGAGGAAATGACAGAGGGGACGTTGTTAGGAACCTCCGGCAGCACAAATTTAGGATTCATGGTTTTGATGATTCACTTTTGCCCTGAGAGCCCATCATCCATTTGATACCAACTCCCAGGACTAAAACACAAATCTCAGTCCACATTTACACTGCTTTGGTCACCAATTGAGGTTAGTTTTTGCTTGTCCTTGGAAGTTGCAGGGGGAGCGTCTAGACCCCTAAAACTGGTACTTTTCTTGGAGACCATCATTTGTGACAAGGTGATAATAGGAGATGGTAAAGGCAGTTTAGTACCTGACAGATTTTTTTTTCCCCTCCCGCTACAATCAAAAATTTTAAATCACTTCAAAAAAAAAAAAAGGAATTAATGAAAAGAAGCATAGGCATCTTTCTGAATGAAGCATTTATGTTATGTACAAATCCTCTCAGACATATCAGTCTGTAGAACTCTTTCTTTAATAACAGAGGAAAATGGCGATGATTTAAATGTTCACTCACAGGGGCCTGTGATCCTTCTACTTACTGGAATATTGGGCCATCACCGAAATTGGATGGCTGCTGAGGTTGATATAATGACATGAATAAATGCTCAAAATGCAATCATGAAAATATATACACCTATGTTTATGTGTGTGTATGTCTATATAGATCAAAATTATGTGGACAAATCTTTTTGCCTACCTCCTCATGGCATTTATCACTCTGAATTGTAATTCTTGCTTTATGTATCACATTTTCCCCATTAGAGAGCATTTGCTGAGCCTTTGCAAAGCCCAACGCACTGTAACATACATGATTAGTGGGGTCAGGGAGTTTGAAGCAGAATTTAGTGACAACCAAGACCTTAGTAACCAGCTGTTTGTTGCCTTAAGAAGCTGACAATTTGTCTCAAGTCCTGTGTTGCCCACTTCCTCCTGGATCCCCTGTTCTCATGAATCACCACCACACACAGTGTCTCTAAAGAGGCAGATTTTGCCACCTCCCTTTTTATTCCTCTTTGATTCCATTCTAAGGATTCCCCTAGAGTGTAATCAATCACTATGCAAGAAAAACCAGCTAGATCTGGGAAACCGATTTTTCTAATATCACTGAGGACTAAGCGTAGTTCTTTTCTTTCCTTTTCTTTTTTTTTTTCCTCATGAAAGAAATGTCACATCTGCTGTCATGGCAACCGAAAAGAGCTGAAGACAGCATCTAGCGCTCTCAAATACTGCAGAAGAAGTTGAATTATTTTGCAACACAACCCTTTTTTTCATTAACTCTTCCCAAGTGATAGAATATGGGAGGAGCTTCTCGGTACCAGCTCCCAGGATGACTCATTTACACCTTGACGGTCAGCATGTTCCCTCCCAAAGGCTTCAGCCAAGCACCAGCCAGGAAACGGGGGTGTGGGGGTGGGTGGGCTGAGAAAGGGCAGAGACCCCACTGCTGATGCTGTGATGCTGCCACATCTGCTGGGTGCTGTGACAGCTGCGCAAATTACCTAACATTCCTTAGTCAAAGGTTTTTAATGCAAGATTAGTCCACTAAGTATATTCACATGCTGCTGCTGTGTGCATTAATAAAACACTACATACAAAGCACCCAGCCCCTGGTAGGTGTCGTGTAGTGGACTGTAGTATCGTGGTGAAGAAGACAGACTCAGGGGCCGCACTGTTAGGGACACATCCTGCCTACGGCTTCTTACTAACTCATGTAGCTGGTCACCAGGCAAGCTACTTAAGTGAGGATGACAACAACGATGTAACAGTACCTCCATGAAGGAACTGTGGCATGGATGGAGTGTTACCTAAGGCAATGCATGTAAAGCATGCACAGCAGCAGTGCCTGGCACACAATGACAATCAGTAAGTCGAAGCTGTTGTTATTATCTTCCCTTTCCCTTTTGAGTGTATACTCATAAAAGTATTTCTACCAATTCTGTTCTGTGTACACAGTAGTTAACAGAGCAGTCCTGAGGCTGCCATCCTTTAAAGGGTCTGCTTGCAAGGGTGGCCCTTAGCTGACATCCTGGAACTTAGATGTTGGGAAGGTTCTCACCATTTCCTATGAAGAATGGCTCACGGTGCCTGAACTGTTTGTACTGACAATATCATGCACGCTTGCTTTTCTTCTGGGAGTCTGGGAATGTGCCAGCAGAGGGTGCCTACTTGACCAGCCCGCAATAAAAACCCTAGATCCTGAATCTCCCATGAGTTCCTCTGGGTCACAATATTTTACAGCTGTTGTCACAATTTGTTGCTGGGGGGAAATTAGGCATTTCCGGCATGACTCTGCTGGGAGAGGAATCTTGGAAGTTTGCACTTAGTTTCCTCTGGACATTGTCCCATGCTTCTTTACTGCTGATTCTGCTTTGAATTCTTTTGCTGCAACAAATCAGTCATGAGTATGATGATATGTATCAGTCAAGAGTATGATGAGTATGATGAGTTCTGTGAGGCCCCGTAGGGTGAATCATTGACCCCGGGAGTTGTCTTGGGGACCCCCCCAACACTCACTCTCTAGATTGCAAAGCATATTCTTATACAGTACCACATTTGTGACTCAGTTCATGCCTACAAAGAAGATATGATGGACATAGTGCTATCCCCTTTTGATAGATGTGGGACGTGCCCAGTGAGGCCCACTGACTAACCCCAGGATACATGGCTTAGTGGCAGCAAGCTGGAGCTGGGGTTTGGGTCTCCTGATCCTGAGTCCTAGAGCTCAATGCTCTTTACCTTGTCCCCCCTCAATCTGGGAGGTGGTAACAAGGTGGCACGGATGATAACTGTGCCGGCAACCCTTCCGTGTGCTCATTTACGGGGCCTGGCACTTTGTATTCATCGCCTTATTTAACATCATAATAACCTTAAAGGTAAAAATTCATATTCCTGTTTTAAAGATGAGGGAAGGAGACTCAGGAAGCTAAGGGACCTGCCCCAGGTCACATGTACACATGAGCGAGTGTATGAGACTGAATCTAGAATAAGGCCTGCCTGACTTCAAAATCCACATTCTTGGCCATTTTATTATCAGGCTCAATTTCCCAGCCTGTTGCCCTCTGGCCGTGCTCACAGCTTAGCAGCACCAGTAACTTGTAATCCTGCCTTCAGCGCTGATCACCTTTTCCCTGCAAAGTTCCTTTACCTTTTAGTTCTTATCCCAGCATTTCTTATCCTAAAAATACTTAAACCTCTGGTTTGGCTCCAGGCTTCTTCTGGATGCAGAGTGTGGGGAATGGGGGTAGAAAAGCCATCAGGAAAGCTGGCAGGTGGTAGCCAAGATGGCAGTCTCTGGGTATGCAGCTTTTTAACTGTGTGATCTTGAACCAGTGAGTTAACCTCTCTGGGCTTCAAGTTTTCTTAACCGTAAAATTAGCATAATAATTAACAGCAGCTACTTCAAAGAGTTGTGGTGAAGATTACATAAAATATATCAAATACTGCAACACCAGCCTGGCACTAGCAAGTGCTCAATAAATGTTAGCTATTATTACTATTATAAGTGTTATTCTGAAAAATGTACTGGGCTTTGAATCAGGGCAGGTGGGTCCCAAATGTGTCACTTAGTATAGCTGCCCTCTGGACTGTATACAGGCATTTAAAACACCTCTGTATCCTCAGGACCCACTACAGCACTGGGCACTAAGTAGATCCTCAATACACGTCTGTGGAAATGTTTCAGATGATCTTCAAAAGCCCCACTTCTCTCAAGCCTCGGCATCCCCATGTATATGAGGCGTGATAAAAAAAATATGGTGAATGTTTAAATTTATAGAAAAAAATTACAGTAAAATACACATTGCCATTAATCCCCCTCAAAATACTCCCCCTTGCTTTGAACACACTTATCTCATCGTTCTTGCCACTTTCTGAAGCAGTCTGGAAGTTCTCTTTTGTGAGTGTCTTTACAAGTGTTTAAGAAACGATGTGTGTGGAAAACGGCCTGAGAAATGGGCAAATGGTTTCCATCATGACAATGCTCCGTGTCACACATCGCTTCTGGTACATGGCAATTTCTGTCCAATAAAAACATTACGGTGTGTCCTCACCCACCTTACTCGCCGGATCTGGTGCTGTGCAACTTCTAGCTCTTCCCCAAAGTCAAAATGACCATGAAAGGTAAATGTTTTGAATCAATTCAGGACATCGAGGCAGCCATGACAGCACAACTAAAGACACTCATGAAAGAGGACTTCCAGAACTGCTTCAGAAAGTGGCAAGAATGATGAGATAAGTGTGTTCAAAGTGAGGGGGAGTATTTTGAGGGGGAATAATGGCAATGTATTTTTTTACTGTAATAAATTCTTTTAATTTAAACAATCACCATAGTTTTTTATCACACCTCATAAGAAACTGGGGAGCAGAGACTGTTCCCAGAGGTCCCCACCAAGTCAGATATTCATTAGCCTGTACTCCATTTGGGTCCTAATAATCTCTGATGGGAGGTTTCCCACTTCTGCCTTTAGCAATTGGTGTCTTTGTGGAAGGGACTCAGTGACACATTCTTTCTATGAGTGCTATTGATCTTGGACGATCTTCCCCTCTAGGATTACACTGATTCACCCTTCTCAGGTCCCCCAAAACAAGCAGCTGACACATTTCAGCAGCTTCTGACTCCTTTGGATATTAATGGATCCTCACACCTGGGAAAAATGCTACAGTACCTCATCACCTAACTTAAAAAGTGATAAACTGTTTTTAATTCATTTATGTGTTAATTCATCACAGCAACTTTTATAAAATGCCATTAAGATTCACACTTTCCACCCAGGGTGCCTTTAACAAGTCCATTAGCCAAGCAGAATTAGACATGAATAATGGTGCTCCCACTCCCCCTGCCCCTCCTGCATTTCAATGTGTGGTGGCTCCATGCCAGCTGGGGAAGTCTGGTAAGGGCAGAGTGGAGCAGCTCATCCTCATGGCTGGGCAAAAAGGCTGTGAGATGCTCGGGCACCTGACCAAAATTGTGCTTATTAAGTGCCCACAATGTGGTTAAGACCCTATAGTCATTG